CCAGGGACAGCAGCTCAGAGACCAGGGACAGCGCTCGGAGACCAGGGACAGCGCTCGGAGACCAGGGTCAGCTCTCAGAGACCAGGGACAGCGCTTGGAGACCAGGGACAGCGCTCGGAGACCAGGGACAGCGCTCGGAGACCAGGGTGTGGGGGTGGCTGCAATCACGCTCCCCCCAAGAACCCAGAGCGTGGCCCTGCAGGGTGTGGGTGGGAGACAGCTGAAGGAGACACTTCCTGACCCTTGCCAGCGCAGGGCACAGAGGCGACATGGCCTGAGGGCGGGGAGGGAGACCGCCAACCCTCGCAGAGAGCCTCTGGCTGTCCAGCCCGCAGGAGGTGCTCTCCCGGGGCTGCCTCCGGCCCAGCACCCTCAGCCCCCTCCTCCCCGTGCGGCTCTGCCGTGGCCAGGCCGGCGCCCTCAGCCCCCGCTTCCTCCCCCCGTGCGGCTTTGCCGTGGCCAGGCCGGCGCCCTCAGCCCCCGCTTCCTCCACTCATGCGGCTTTGCCGTGGCCAGGCCGGCGCCCTCAGCCCCCTCTTCCTCCCCCCGTGCGGCTCTGCCGTGGCCGGGCTGGCACTGGCCTACCTCTAGCCCGGCGCGATGGCTGCATGCTCTCCCTGCAGTGCTCCGTCAGCTGCGGCGTCGGGGTCCAGAGACGGAGGCAGGTGTGCCAGAAGCTGACCGCCAGGGGCCTCCGCCTCCCGCTAGGCAACGCCGCGTGCCAGGGTCTGGCCGGCCCCCCGCTCGAAAGACCGTGCCAGATGCGTGTGTGCGGGGGTAAGTGTGCCTGTGTGCAGTTCCTCGTGTGTGCGGGGGTAAGTGTGCCTGTGTATGGTCCCTCGTGTGTGTGGGTAAGTGTGCACCGTATGTGCTCCTCTCTCGGCCTGGACCGGCTGCTGCTGTCCAGAGCTGAGCGAGCTCAGGCCGCACTGGTTCTCAGGCCAGTGGGAGAACATGGAGACTGGGGCGTCCTGAGAAGCCAGCACTCAGAAACACCCGCGCCACAGTGCTGCTGGAATGCCGGCTTTCTGTGTGGAAGCCACCGCACACCCCCGGTCCGAGTCACACGCACACCCTGGTCAGAGTCACACGCACACCCCCGGGTAGGAGTCACACGCACACCCCCGGGTAGGAGTCACACGCACACCCCCGGGTAGGAGTCACACGCACACCCCCGG